TGGAAGGCAGTAAGAGACATACTGGAAATGAGATACAGGAACATTAAGCATTAGGACTTCTCAAGGAAAAGCTGGTTCCTACATATTAACTGCTATGGTGTTCTCAAAATCGCTGTAGCGTTGGCTTCCAAACACTCCATGACCTCTTTCCTCACTCTTTTTCCTAGTTGGGCACAGTGCAATTGAGGGAGAGACACTTACTGTCTATGCTGGAAACACACCTCATCTCCTTTGGCCAAAGCATCATCTAGACCCAGCATCTGGATTTGCTGCATGGGCCCACAGACCTATCAATTTTCAGGTGGGATTTTGCACATCCAACTAGAAAGTCCCACTTACAGAGACCAGAGCCTGATACATGGAGCACATGGGCTGAGATGAAAGCCTGGCACTTGGTAATAAGGATTTAAAAGAGTAAAATCTCAAAGAGAAAAGGACGGAGGCAACCACAACACAAGCAGCTGCCCAGAAGCTAAGCCAAAGTCGCCAGGGAGACCAGGGCTTGCTGCAGACCAAAGGGAAGACAGCCATCAGCTGGCTATTTTGTCCATGATTACAGGGCACAAGCGAAGCTGCCCACTAACATCTGTTACCAGAAGTCACAGAATGTCAACCCAAAGGCTTTTTTGGTAGCACGAGTAAAGCTGAAGAGCCTTCCAGAACTGCTCTTCACTAGCAATTGCTACTGTGGTAAATGAGAAATGTGAAGGGCCAAGATAACGCTGATCTTGTTAGGACTTGCAAGGACAAAGATGTGCTTGGCTTTGTATCAGGTGGTCTCTGCACCGGGAAGCTGCAGGCAGCACCGCAAGTGAGAGGCTAAAGATGCATCTTGGGTGAGTTCTCAAGAGTGGAAACCTGACTGCCTGTTGAAGCAACATTCCCTTAGGTGGCCACCATAACAAAGCAGTTCTGACCAAGGAGCCCAGAAGCCAGCCCCCAGGTGTTGTTTATTACGGCCAGCCCCCAGGTGTTGTTTATTACGGCCAGCCCCCAGGTGTTGTTTATTATGGCATCTTCTGTATCTGGACATGCATAATGGGACAAGCTAGTCAAGGAACAGTAACCTGCAGCAAAATCCAAATGAGAGAGAGAGGCAAACTTGCTCTTACTTTGTCCAGCCAGAGGCAGCACCCATGGGCGGAAACTCCTCCAAGTTGTTAAGATTTAGCTGGCTGGGTGGGGATCTAGCAGAAACAAGAGGCACTTCACTCCGCTTCCTTCTCCCTCCACTCCACGAGACACTGTCATTCTTTCCATCTTCCTCCTCAGCAAGGGAACGCCCCAGATCCCGAGCTACCTGCCGGCCAGAGGCGCTGAGGGAGCTGCTGCCTTTCCTTCGGCCTCGTCTCGCTGGCAGGGCCTCAGGCGTGGCTGTAAGGAAGCTCCCCAAGCTGGCCTTCTGAGATGACCGCCTCTCCCCGGGGTTAAGCACAGGGCTGTACCCAAAGCTCGGGCTGCTACTGGAGACCACGCTGGGGAAGTCACCACAAGGGCTAGAGAGGTTTGACCCAGAAAAGGAAGAGGAGCTGCTGGATGCCGCAGCAGGAGAAAAGCTGGTATCTGTGGTGCAGGTGGTCGCTGAAGTCCTTTGGGAAAAGAGCTGCACTCGGGTGCTGGTTGTGTGGCCTGCCCTCCTTTCTGATCCAGTCCTTTGGCTCCCGTGGGCCTTGGAATTGGGGGTTTTAGCAGGAGTAGAGGGCCCATTAGTCAGGATCTGGCTGGTTTGCTCCCTTAAGAAGTTTAGCAGAAAAGGCACAAAGTCTTTCTGAAGCAAACTAAGAGATACCAGCTTGTCATGGATGTGGTTCTCCTGCAAGGAAAGAGAACAAAGCATTAATATGAAGATGCTACCTGATTCCTTCTTTCCGTGTGCTCAGACTCACTTAAGTAGTAACTGTGGGACTGCAATACACAATAAGAAACAACATGACTTGTCAAAGCAGGTCACTGAAATTCAAACTACCTTAGCACTGGTCATAGATCTCAAACTCAGCCTCCACAAAAGCCATTTTGGCAGAAGTTTTCAGATCGATTCATTCACTTTGGTCTCTGACTGGGAAACCGTGGAACTGTTCCATGGAAACATCTGTACTACTTACTGAAGCTATGGCCAGGGAGAACTCCAAGCAACTGGCACCCCTAATTCCAACATTTCAAAGACATAGATCCTGAAGCAGCTAATTCTAATAGAAAAATATAAAATCTGCAACTTTTCTGTCCCCTGTTTGTCTATGAATGCCACCTGCTTCCACAGAGGGGTGCTATAACAACAACTATTCAAGCACTTGGAGTCAGTCCCGTAGTGCCAAACACAAGACCAAAGCTGTTCTTCAATTTCAATTAAATAATTTTGCTCCCTTGAGACCTCACAGAGGTCTAAACAGAGACTGTGCAACTTTAAGGTACACAAAGTTTATACTTAAGAAACTTAAAAAAAACCACCACAGATCCAACCCACAGTCGCCACAACTGAAGAAGCTCTCAAGAAGGACAGCAACTTATTTCTTACTAATATTAAAATCATTGCAGGCATATTCCTGTTCATTCATATTCACACCTCCACTAAATGAAAAGTCAGGAGAGCAGATGCTATTTTGGAAGGACATTTTTCTGTGAAAGGAGGCAGCAAAAGCATGGCCAGGACTGGACTCCTACAATCTTCAACACAGATGCTGAAATTTGTATTTGGAAGCCTTGAGACCAACTCAGCTTCCTGGAGAAGCAGGAGACTCCGACACAGCCTGGATAACAAGCCAAGCAGCCAAGGCTCACTGCTTTAGCACTCTTAACACCCAATGAAAAAATGCAGGCCAGAACACAAACCCTGTGAGGTATCAGAAGACCTGTCTTTTAATGAGTTGCCGTGAAAGCTAGAGGAAATGTCAGGCTACATCTTGCTCAGGTGCCCCCCCAGCTTCGCCGCAGAGGCAAAAAGACAAGATTACAGCCTGCATGATCATGAGGTCAAGCAGTTTCTCCAGCTTTTCAGAGCACAACCTGCTTTCACTCCTCCATCTCTGCACAAGTTGACAGAGCTTCGGCTCCTCCACAGCTGGACAAGGGCGACCTGTCAGCAGATCCAGCTGCGAGCCTCCCGCTTGCTTTCTCGTGCCGGATCAATGGGGCTGCCTCCCAGCAGCCAAGGGCAGTTGGCAACTCCCTCGGCAAGGACAAACTTTTCGGTGAGCAAACAGGGCCCCCGCACCCTCCACCCCCTCAGCGCCGGCCCAGCTGCCGGCTCCTCCAGCTCCAGAAGCCCCACAGCTGGGCTTCTGCCAGTCGCAGCTGGCACAACACCGGACTCTGCCCAAATGCCGGTTCCTTCTGCCCACACACGGCTAGGACGACAGCCGTACTTGACTAACTCACGTGGGGTGACAGCAGTGAGTTTGGATTTTAATTAACGCTGGGTAACGCGCCCTGAGGGGCTTGGGCAGAAAACGCTCTCAATACAAATTGCGTCTCTAAGGTGAAATACAAAGCCCACAGCCCACCTATGGCTACCAACGCTTTTGTAGGACTAGACGATCTCCAGAGGTCCCTTCCAACCCCCATTATTCACCGATTACCCCAGGAACCCAAATTCTCCAGCCATATCCCGCTGCAGAACTCAGCCTGCCCAAAGCCCAGCCAGAACCGCCCCCCCCCGGCCATGACGGACCCTCCTCAGCGCACTGAGGGGACGACCAGCCGCGGTGCCGGCTGCTCTGAGGCACCCGGCAACTTCCTCACCGGGCCGGGGCGCCTCACCGGGCGGTGCGGTGCCCTCACGGTGCCGGTGGCAGCTCCGTCCGTCTCTCACCGCCGCTTTCCCCGCCACAGCCCCGGGAC